GAGCAGATGCTTCCCCACTGTAGAGAGCCGCCAATTCCAGTAAGGAATACAATAGCATTTTCAATCAGTGGTCATCATGTGCCAGGAATGCAAAACAGAGTACTGACGATAATCCAGGTTATGAATCATAAAATCCACATGGAATACAAATATTTGAAAACATTATTAGGAAATCCTACTCCACTGCTGAGACAGATTTATGCAATAACGGTCTGAGAAATAATCAGAGCCACTGCACTAGGTGACTTTACATTTGTAATATCTTCCACCGTAAAAATTTTTCTAAATATTCAGCTACTATCTGACTGATTTAGAAGATATTAACACAAACATTTTAGAAAGCATTTGTCATTTCTAACATGAATAAGACTATTCTTAGATAAATGGGTGTCTTTTTAATTTGCAATATTCTAATTATTTTATTTCTCTCCTTGAAATATTAAATTCTTTATTACTTATACAATTCTATAACATTATGTTATCAGTACAGAACCTATCTTAGTGGCTCTGATTCAATTAGATACTCCTGTTGATATTCAGGACTTCCCCAGTGGTCCAGCAGTAAAGAATCTGCCTGCAATGCAGGAGATGCAGGTTCGATCCCTGGATCAGGAAGATCCCCTAGAAGAGGGCACAGCAACCCACTCCCATTTTCTTGTCTGAAGACTCCCTCGTCCTGAAGGATGAGGAGCCTGGTGGGCTGCAGTCCATGGGGTCACACTGAGTTTGCATACTACTACAGCACGAGAAAAATTATTTTTCAGGGAAAAAAAAAATGAATGTGATGAAAGAAATTAAAGAAGACACAAACAGATGGATAGATATACCATGTTCTTGGTTTGGAAGAATCAATATTGTGAAAATGACTATACTACCCAAAGCAATGTACAGATTCAACGCAATCCCTATCAAATTATCTATGGCATTTTTCACAGAATTTTTTACATTCTGTGTAAAAACTATAAAATAGAACAAAATATTTTACAATTTGTATGGAAACACTAAAGATCCTGACTAGCCATGGCATTCTCGAGAAAGAAAAAGTTGGAGGAATCAGGTTCCCTGACTTCAGGTTATACAAAGCTTTATAATCATCAAGACAGTATGGTACTGGCACAAAAACAGATCAGTGGACATGACAGAAAGCCCAGCCACACACCTATGGTCACCTAATCAATGACAAAGGAGACTAGAATATACAATGGAGAAAAGACAGTCTCTTGAATAAGTGGTGTTGGGAAAACTGGACAGCTACATGTAAAAGAATGAAACATTCCCTAAAACCATACACAAAAATACTCAAAATAGTTTAAAGGCCTAAATGTTAGGCCAGATACTATAAAACTCTTAACAGGGAAACATGGGCAAATATTCTCTGACATAAATCGCAGCAAGATCTTTTTTATCCTACCTCCTCGAGTAATGAAAGCAAAAATAAATAAATGGGGACCAAATTAAAATAAAAGCTCCTGCACAGCAAAGGAAACCATACACAAGGCAAGACGACAGCCCTCAGAATGGGAGAAAATATTTTCAATGGAGCAACAAAGAATTAATCTCTAAATACACAAACAGCTCATGCAGCTCAATGGAAAACAAAACAAAACAACCCAATTAGAAAACAGGCAGAAGACCTAAAGAGACATTTCTCCAAAGACAACATATAGATGGCCAACAAACATATGAAAAAATGCTCAACATCACTAGTTACTAGAGAAATGCAAATCAAAACTACAATGAGGTATCACTTCACATCAGTCAGAATGGCCATCATCAAAAAGTCTACAAACAATAAATGCTGGAGAGGGGTATGGAGAAAAAGGAATCCTCTTACAATGCTGGTGGGAATCTAAATCGATATAGTCACTATGGATGGTGGTTCCTCAGAAAACTAAAAATATCACTACCATGTGACCCAGCAATCCCACTACTGGGTATATACTCAGAGGAAACTGTGACTCAAAAAGATACATACACCCCAATGTTCACTGCAGCAATATTCACAATAGCCAGGACATGGAAGCAACCTAAATGTCTATCAACAGAGGAATGGATAAAAAAGATGTGGTACATATACACAATGGGGTATTACTCAGACGTAAGAAGGAATGAAACTGTGTCATGTGCAGACATGTGGATGCCTCTAGAGACTGTTATACAGAGTATAATGTCAGAAAAAGAAAAACAAATATCATACGTTAACATACATATGTGGAATCTAGAAAATTTGCAAAGCAGAAACAGAGACTCAGACATAGAGAGCAAACTTATGGATACCAAGGGGGCAAAAGGGTGGGATGAATTGTGAGACTGGGATTGACATATATGCAATACTATGTATAAAAAAACATACCTAATGAGAACCTATTGTATAGCACAGGGAACTCAATTTGGCGCTTTGTGGTGACCCAAATGGAAAGGAAGTCCAAAAAAGAGGGCATGTATGTAAACACATGGCTGATTTACTCTGCTGTACGGCAGAAACTGACAGAGGAGTGTAAAGCATCGAAACTCCAGTTTTAAAAAAGTTAACTACAATATTATGGACCTAAAGAGGCCAAACTGACTTTAAAGAAAAAACTGTAAAAGATCCTAATTCGAATAGAGGAATACAGATAATGAAATAGATAATGTCAGTTATATATAAGCAAAAAAAAAAAAATAAAACGGCAATGGAATTTCCTACTTCGGCACATGAGAGAGACACTGAAATCTAATAACTAATTTGTGGTGAAAGAGTCAAATAAGAAATCAACATGGCATGTGCAGTGCAACTTCAAGGAAATGAGCGTAAAATTGGGGAAACCTGTGGCAGGGATCTTTTGCTTTTCTCCCCATGCAGAACTAAACCAGAGCTTGTGCTTAAATGCTAACCTGCATCACCAAATAAATTTTAGTCATTCTTGACTTAGAAAAGGCAAAACTCAAAGGGAACTCTTGTGTAGTTGCTTGTATGCCTCATAGCATGGAAGAGTCCTGTGTCCTGTTAAAGTAGAGGCACTCTGCACTAGGGCAAGGTAAAACTCCTGATGTGACCGCACAGGGCACACATTCTCTTTACATTACACTTCCAAACATGGCAAGGCTAGCACTTATTTGTTGCTTCTGTTATCCGCACATCTGCAGTGTCCACTGTTTCCGGGTTACAGGTGCAAGAGCCCACAGCAGGAGCAACTGGCTAACTCTGGTCTCGTTTCATACTGCACTCAACCCAAACTGAGCTAAGAACTACTGAGAAAACATCAGAAATATTCCCCTTCAAATCGTTGCCCTTAAGCATTGCTTCAACACCTGACAGGCTGGAAAAAAAGTCATAAATTGATATTCACCCATTAAATACTGCTAAGACTTAACAGTATCTGGAAATCTGTACAAAGAATGAACTTGCTTCCCACTGCTGTAAGTAGGTGGTCCTTCTACTTCACTGCAAAAGCAGCAGCACAAGAGCTTATACAGCTGCTGCCTTTCACGTATCTGTCTTTAACAAACAGAAATGCCTGCCTTCATGGATCCTAGCTTTTTGCATGTTCACGGGCATGTTTTAAAGTTACATCAAAGCTTTCAGGATCTCCAAGAGTCATAAAAGACTTGTTCATCAGCACAACAAGCCAAAATGGTGAGAAGGCCTGTGGGCAGGACTTCAGAGGCTCCCTGATGCAAGACGGTACAAGTTCCTGGCATTGTATTAAAAGCTTTCAAACACAAGATTATCTTACATCCCCTGTGCACAATACTGATATATAATAGAGTGAATTAAAAAGTAATAGCAACTTTAACCATGACTTCTTTCTTTTTTTCCAGAGCCAAAAGCACGTCAAAGGATGAACAAAATACAAAGATTATAAAATCAAATATTTTAAGATAAAAGGAACTTTTTAAAAAACTGTTGTTACGAGCAGTTTATTAAAAATCCACAAGAGGGCACCAAAGACAAAAGGCTAGAACAAATTCCATTAATTTGTGATTTATACATACAAAACAAGTTTATAAAATAGGTTATTATATTTACTAACATATTATCAGTATCTTTCAGAAAGACTACTGGCCACTGATTTTTTAAAAACCTGAATATTTTAAAATACCATCACCACTGCCATGTTATTTTTTTACATAAGCAGTATTTATGTTTCTCAAAGGATGTATCTATATTCGTTAATACATTCAGTAATCTATCTACATATCTACATGCAGTAATCTCCCCAATGACTTGCATAAAACAGGAACTCAGGAAACACTTGCTGAGTCTACAAAATTGACAGAAACATACAATAGGAAATATCAAGTATGCACATCACTTTGTCATTGCATTCTAAATTATGTTTATATAAAAAGATTTATAATTGCGTTATGTTCTTAGAACAAACAGAAGTGAAGTGAAGCGAAGTGAAGCCGCTCAGTCGTGTCCGACTCTTGGCAATCCCATGGATTGTAGCCTACCAGGCTCCTCCCTCCATGGGATTCTCCAGGCAAGGGTACTGGAATGGGTTGCCATTTCCTTCTCCAGGGGATTCTTACCAACTCAGGGATCGAACCCGAGTCTCCCGCATTCCAGGCAGACGCTTTAACCTCTGAGCCACCAGGGAAGCCCCAAATTAGAACTAATCTGTCTTTGAAAATAATGTCTTTTTCTCATCTTTTCTTTCTCCTACTCCTTTTCTGCTCTATTAGGATAGTTCTTAGCAATAATCAGAAACTTTAATAAATACTTAACAAAAGAAATCACTTTTATAAACTCAGAAATGATAACATTATAAAATGACTTTAAGAAATCAGCTTCCAAAACATACAGTTTAGAAGAAAACTGTCTGGATTACAAGAAAATAACAATGTTAATTTTAGCATGCAGTTTACATTACTGAAACTGCTGATACAAATGACATTCTGGGGCAGAGAAATGCCAAGTCAGGGCCGCAAAAACAAGCAGTTCCCCCCAAACCAAATATTTATGACATGTTTGACTTATGCACTGCTCCAGAAATACTTCATGTGCCAGGACATACCTGATTACTTTTAAATGTAGATACTTTCGGTGCTGATGGTAATCTTGTGGCACTATGCTAAAGAATACAGGGTAAAGTCAGTTAAAATCCATTATAAAGAATTTTACATATATATTTATTGACTTGATAAATCTAAAGTATTTGTAAGCACTTACTATGTGCCAGACAGTATGCTAAGATATAGTCTTTGTCTTTGAGAAATGCACAGGTTAGTGGAGAAAATTAGAAAGTAGACAAGTATAAATACAGTGAGTTAAGCATTCACCCAGAGGTAAACACAGGATACCATGAGAGCACAGCGGAGCATTTCAATTTCAAGATCAGCTGGATAAATACCGAGGACCGCAACTGGTAGGTCTCATGGTATGTTCAGCTTTCTAAGAAACTGCCAAACTCCCTAACAGTGTTACACCATTTATGCTTTTCCACCAACAGTGAATGAGAGTTTCTGTTGCTGAGCTTGTTCACCAGCACTCAGTATTGTCAGGTTTTTGGTTTTTTTTTTTCATTTTAGACATTCTCACAAGTATTTAGTGGCATCTCATGGTTGGTGTAACTTGCAATTTCTGATGACAAAAGGTGCTGGGCATCTTTTCATAAGCTTATTTGACATTTATGATCTTTGACAAGGTGTTCAGTGCTTTTACCCATTTTTTAAATTGTCTTGTTTGCTTTTTTATAGTTGATTTTTAAGGAGCTCATGTATTTTGGACACGTTTTTTCAAATAAGGCAGTGCTTTGCAAATATTTTCTCAGACTATGGCTTGTCTCTCCATTTTCTTAATGGGGTCTTTCACAGTGCAGTAGCTTTAGTTTTAATATCACCAGCTGTTTTGTTTTTTTCTTTCCCCATAAACCTTGCTTTTGGTGTTTTAACTCAACACCAAACCTAAGGTAACACAGATTTTATCCTATGATTTCTTCCAGAAGTTTTCCGGTTTTACATGTTATATTAAAGTCTATGATCTATCTCAAGTTAAGTTTTGTGAAAGCCTTGAAGTCTATGTCTAGGTTCTTTTTTTTCCCCCCATATAGACATCGGGTTCTTCCAGCACCCTTTAAGAGATTATTCTTTCTCCACTGAGTTGCCTTTGTGGCCTTCCCAAAGGTCAACTGATTATATTTGTGTGGGTTTCTTTCTGAGTCCTCTATTCTGCTTCATTGATTTATCACTGATAATACATGTCTATTCTTTTTCTAATACCACACTGTCTTCATTACTATCATTTTACAGATGTCTGCAAATTGGAGTCTTCAAACTATTTTTTCTTATTCATTATTGTGTTGGCTGTTCTAGGCCTTCTGCCTTTCCATGTAATCTTTAGAATCATTTTGTTCGACAGTTACATGTTAGCTTGCTAGAATTTTTATTGTGGATGAACTGAATCTATTCATTAAGAAGAAATGATATCTTAACCACATTTTGAGTCTTTTAATCCATGAACATGGACTGTTTCTCAAGTTTTTTTTAGAACTTCACTTTTTTTAATCAGTGCACACAGATTCTATACATATTTTGTCAGACTTAAGTATTTCTTTTTTATTTCTTTTGTTAAAAAGATTTTTCAAAATTTCCAAATTCCAGTTACTTATTGCTGGTAAACAGAAAGCAAATGAATATTTTACATTGCCCCTGTACCCTGTGACTTCACTATATCCACTTACTATACAGTTCCAGGAGTTTTTTTTGTCGATTCTTCGAAATTTCCTAGAGAATCGTGTCTATGCAGGCCTTTCCAGTCAGTCACATTATCCCTTTCTTCTGGGGCCTTTCTCCTCAGTATAAAAATTTAGTAATATTCTGACCATTAAACAACTAAAGGAAAAACAAGTTATTCATAACCAGACTTCTTGATAGAGTAGTCAGAGCCTTTGTTTCTTTCCTTCATCAGGTTCTCTCTCTACCTCGTATCATACTGTGGCTGAAGTACTCTTTACAGGGCAACTTTCTGGGTAAGATGAGATCATTTAGAACCTATTTAATTTGAGGTGTCCATGGGTCATCCAAGTCTTTCTGTAGCAGGCAGCAGAGTATGCATTTTTTGAACCCCAAGGGAGAGCTCAGGCAGTTAGGGAATCAACAGACTTTCTGCATCTGGTGATTAAACCTTAGGCAAAAGTGGGATTGCTCAAGAAGTCTTTAAACAAAAACATGGGTTGCTGCTTCTGCTGAGACCACTTCTTAGGTCACCCTCACTTGCCTGATCAACTCCTTATCCTCCAGGAGTCATCTCAGCCTTTGGCTCCTCTGGAAAGGGAGACTCTTTCCTGGCACTCCTACAAGGCTTTGGTTTGCTGTTGTCCAGTTGCTAAGTTGGGTCCAACTCTTTGTGACCCCATGGACAGCAGCAGGCCAGGCTTCTCTGTGTTCCACTATCTCAATGGAGTTTGCTCAAACTCATCTTCACTGAAACATCTGTTAGAATGTCTAAAATGCCAAAAACACAACACTCCACAAAACCTGACAATACTAAGTGCTGGTGGACATGCTCAGCAACCAAAACTCTCAATCGCTGGTGGCAATGCAAAAATGGTGTAACACTGTTAGAAAACATGGTAATGTTTTACAAAGCTAAACATACCACAGGATCTACCAATTATAGTCCCAGATAGTCTACCAATTACAGTCCTTAGGTATTCACCCAACTGAATCCGAAAATTTCCATCCATACAAAAGTTGATATGAAAATGTTTACAGCCACTTTATTCACAATTGCCAAAAGTTAGAAATGACCAAGACATCCTTCAGTAGATGAATGGATAAACAAATTGTGGTACATCCATGCAAAGGAATACTGTTTAGTTAAAAATTAAAACGGGGTTAATTTTAAAAAGGGATGAATCTTAAATCTTACTGCTAAGTGAGACAAGCCAGTCTGAAAAGGCTACCTTCTGTTCGATTTCAATTACATGACATGGATAAGGCAGAACTATAGATGGTAAACAGATTAGCAACTGCAGAGGGCTTGGGGGTAGAAGGAGAGTTGAATAGATGCAGCAAAGGGATTTGGGGGCAGCAAAAGTATTCTTCAGTGTATTGCAATGGTGAAAATGTAACACCATGCATCTGTCAAAGCTCGTAAGATGTTTATACAATAAAGAATGAACCTTAATATATGCAAGATCTCAGGGTGTAATGCAGAATGCAACACACAACCAAAACATCTAACTGTATTACAAATGTATGAAAGAACTTCACTGAGCAAGGCGGGCAGAAAAGGTGCTAACCCAAGTAACCTTGAAAGTCAGTGGAGTTTGTAAGACTTAAAAAGCACTATACTAAGCACCATGTTCTACTTGATAAAGTTGTTCCCGTGGGGATATGGCTTAAGTTCTGAAACTACTATACATGTACACAGGAACTGAAACATGTAGCAAAGTGGGTGGTTTAGGTAGAGGGAACCAGGTTTCTCACCATTGTGGTGGGAAGTTATAAATAAGCAAGGAGAGACAGAATGACCCATGTGGTAATGGATTAGAAGTCAGAGACATCAGTATGAATTCATGTTTACTTTAATATAGAAACAGATAGAGATATATACACACACACATACATATGTATGAAGACACAGTATACACATATATACAGCTGCTTGGTTTGTCTGCTGAGAGGAGTCGATAAAGGGACAATACTCCCACAGCAGCAAAAAGCACACCTACAGTTCGTATCTTAGTTTCTAATACCATTTGCTAATAAAGGAACTAGTCTCCCAGGATTCTAGAAGCTGTGGCAGGAAATACACAAACTGAGTCTAGAGGATCTTACAGTGTCAGAGAATAAGGAAGCAAGTAAAGTAAAAGCAAACCCACAATGATGTGGTTATGTCAAAGGGACAAAGGAGTCAACCATACGAGGAGGCTCCAATGTCCACAGCTGGAACAACTGGAACAAGAAAACAGTACGGAAGTATTGGACTATAACTCAAAGTGTCAACTAAATAACCATGAGTCAGTAAGATATATATGACTGAATAAGTAAATGGAGAAAACAGACAAATCTCCTATACAGAAGAATTACAAATAACTTATGTAGACACTCTGCCCTCCAAGAGGGGGAGCATAACTCCCCATTCCTCAAGTGTGGGCTCTCTATTATGATGTCCTTCCAAAGAGTACAGGATGGAAAGGAGGACAGAGTAATTTCATCGTGCAGAAAACTGACAAACATCATGTCAGCCAGGTGATCATGGGTAACACTGACAGTGACAAGTCATATTAATAGAGTGTACTTGTGATACTGTGATATAAGAGGAAACACAGACTTGATCTGTCCCCAGTTCCTGGCACAGTGCTTCTAAAACTCTTATAATTTCTGAGTGGTATGTGTGGGAGGAGCACGTTTTGGTATTCATAATAAGCCCCTTTCCACCATATCTGGGTTTTGCTAATACGGAGACTCAGAGGATGAGGGCTGGCTGCCAGAGGAACCATGTGATTAGAGGGTTGGAACTTTTAGGTCTACCCTCCTGACCTCCAGGAAGGAGAAAGGAGTTAGGGATTGAGTTAATTACCAATGGCCAATATTTTAATCAATTATATCTCTGTCGTGGAACCTCCATAAAACCTCTAAAAGGAGTGTTTTGGAGATTTTCCTGGTTGGTGAATACACTGGGTGTCAGGAGTGTGACATGCCTGGAGTGGGCATGGACCCCCCCACAACCCCCTTCCTCATATCCTATTACCCCAGGTAACTCTTCCATTGGGCTATTCCGGAGTTGTATCTCATACTGGTAATAGTAAGTAAAGTGTTTTCCTGAGTTCTGTGAGTTATTCGTAGAAAATTAATGAATCTAAGGAGGGCACTATGGAACCCCTGATTTACAGCCAGTTGGTCCAAGTACAGGAGGCCTACACTTGTGAGAAGCATCTGAAGTAAGGGAAGAGGCAGTTTGGTGAGACTGAGCCCATAATCTGTAGGGTCTGTAGGGTCTGTGCTAACTCAAGGTAGTTAGCATCAGGATGAATTAAACTGTAAGACACCCAGTTGGTGAACCAGAGAATTGCTTGGGGTAGAAAACCCACACAACTGGTATCAGAAGTTTTACAAATAGAGGAAA